GGCCAAACTCGCGAGTACGGATTGAGGCCAAGCCTCGAAAGTGACAGTTAGGAGTTGATTCTTGTCAGTGGCAGTTGTTCTTTTCAGCTACAGCAATGGCATGTGTTAATAAACACCGGAAGTGGTCCAGGTGATGAGGATCCGAGGCCTCCGCCTCGCTTGCCTACTGAGGTGAAAGGCAAGGGGACAAAGAAGACTACATCAAAGAAGCAAAAGTTTGCGGATGCTGATACAGCGAGAGCAGCAGCAGTAGCATCCACCGCAGAGCGTGCAGAGAGAGGAGGTGCTTAGAGTGGTGTTGTCATTACAGATCAGCTCTCACCAGCATAGAGGGCCGTCGTCGAGGCAGTAGAACGTCGTCATGGTTGTCCAACTAGGACTGTCATGCTTGAGGGACAACATGTCATTTTGGAGCAGAGTCAGCCTCAAGGGGAGCCACAACAGCAGGCTCAGCCAGCAGAGCAGATAGAGCAGACTCAGGAGGCAGAGCAGACCGAGGAGACAGAGTAGGCACCTCAGCCATAGTTACGCCGCTCTGGTCGTACTCATACCCAGGTGACACCGAGGCCAGAGACACAGAGGAGGGGTTCTCGTCCGCCTCCTAGACCACAGGGTTTGCCTCCAGTGACTCATCTGGACTTGAGGGCCGCCACGGCCAAGCAGGTGCAGCAGCTCAGGTTTGTCAGCTCAAGGACTGGTTCCCGTCGAGGAGGGATGAGCGTGCTTCAGAGGGTTTCTATACACCACTACAGGAGGACTTCTATAATGCTTATCTAAATAGTGGTGTGGCTTTCAGATCATAGAGGGTTTGTTCCATTGAGGCCATTGTAGCAGCAGCTAGAGAGCAGATCCGCCCTCGTCTCTCTTACTTGCCAGGGTTGACAGACTTACTTGGATGGACAGACAGATATGTTCCATCTTGGGTCCATGAGTTCTACGCTACACTTTGGATTGACCCGTGGCATAGGTTCATATATTTTGCTTTCAAAGGCCGTGACTACAGGCTGATGAGCTACAGGGTCAGAGAGATCCTCAGGTTACAGGAGTCACCCATCCACCTTCATGAGGTTTGCTATGGTCATATAGAGCCTCCTAGATGCCCTCACGGCGGTCTTGTGCCTCCCACAGATCTCATCCGACCCTGCTTCACAGAGCCATTCGGCGAGGGGTCGAGCAGGACACCTAGAGACCTTACTCCTATAGTGAGACTGCTTGATGCTATCATGAGAAGGACCCTGCTACCGAGGATGGGATATCACAAGGGATTGACTCGTATTCAATTGTGGCTACTGAGCTCCCTGATCCAGCAGACAATATTTGATATATGAGATGTCATTCTTTCTGAGATGGAGGATACACTTGCAGAGGGATTCAGAGGTCACAGGCAGCTGCCATATGCTCACTGGATCACATTTCTGATTCACAGGGCAGTTACAGTGAGGCCTCCTGAGATGTTGGCAGAGTATTCAGGAGCTACTATAGAGTTTCTAGCATATAACATGACTCAGATGCTCTGCCACAGTGCAGCGAGGACACCTAGCCAGCCGCGTCGTCGCCCAAAGGTGCCAGAGTCTGTAGCCCAGCAGGATGAGATTATCAGGGGCATTGCAGTGACAGAGAAGGAGTAGCTAGACTCACAACAGGAGGGTATGGTTGAGAGTGATCCTAGTGACAGCTCAAATGATGATTATCAGCTATTCCTCAGATGCCTCCATGACGACCTGACGGTGAGGCCAGTGGCTCCAGCTTAGCTCCACATGCACCGTAGATAGACCCCGCTCTTCTTGCTATACTTGAGCAGATGAGGCAGGATCAGGCTTGCTAGGCCCAGGAGACCGCAGCTGCACTTGCACAGGTTTAGGCCAGACAGGACGAGTTCCAGCGACAGCAGCAGGCCATCTAGCAGCAGTAGTAGGCCATGCAGCAGCAGTAGCTCCTCATTTAGCAGCAGTTACTTGGTTTCATACAACATGTTGTTACTGCCATTGGGGCTCCACCGCCATAGCTTACACCTCAGCTCGGCCAGCCTGCCACCACTACAGTGACTCTAGGTTTTTAGCCTAGTGGGCTTCAGAGTCAGGGACAGCCAGCTACCATGTTCGCTTCACCTACAGAGCAGGTGTCTCAGTGGTTTGCTTCACCAGTGCTAGCCCAGGGTCTTTCCTTCACACCTCTATATACAGGCTTCACACCGACTCAGAGTTCGTCTATGCTTGTGATAGACACCCTAGTTTCTAGGAGTCTTGGTGCTGCTTTCAGTGAGTTGACAGGGCAGCCTACACCGCCAGAGCTACGTGTCCCTGGACCTTCCACCATTGCTCCAGTTAATGGGACTACAGAGACGCTCCCATCATCAGTTGCATCATCAGAGCCACCTGCTACAGTCATACCTGCAGAGTCACAGGTCGCACCAGTTCTAGAGCAGACCCAGACCGCTTCAGCGTCACTTCCGACGACAGAGGGTCAGACAGCTTAGAGCTCCGGATCAGAGGATGATGCTACCTAGTTCCAGATCGTTCATCGCACCTCAGCGCCTGACTCGTCCGATGTTGCCCCGCCAATAGACCCTTAGGTTTTGGTGCTTGACGCCAAAGGGGGAGAGGGATCGAGTATGATAGACTTAGGGGGAACGATATATCCAGGGGGAGCTTATTTTTTACATTTGGCTTTTTATGTGTGATACATTATTATGCATTCATATTTACTTTCATGCATTGAACTACATACGTGTGATCGTGATATTTATGTGATATGTGACATGTGTGCTCTCTACTCTTATCTTTATATATGTCATGTCACTTGGTTATGCTCATTTACTTTGCTTCCGCGTTTTCCTCCAATGCAAATGAGCTTTATTTCTTGTACTCATGCTTATTTCATATCTATTGAGTACATCATGTTGGCTTGGGTCATATAAGCTTGCCTAACTTTTTTGTTCTTATTGTCAAAAGCTTATATGAACCAATCATGTTGAAAACCTCATCTCTTTTACATACTCGAGGTTGTATTGTCATCAATCACCAAAAAGGGAGAGATTGAAAGCATCTAGGCCTATAGTTGGGTTTCGGTGATTAATGACAATACGTGATTACTATGACTAACGTGTATTTTGCAGAGGCAATTAAGTTTGGTCATGGTAATGAAAATTGATTGGACAATCATGGTTGTCATGCCCCTACGATGGAAATTGTTTCGGTTTTCAAATGATGGACTAGTTCTAAGTGTCGTTTGATATTGAAGAGACACTTAGAGTAGTTTAGGACTTTGTTTTTCCTTTGGCCGTACTATTAAGGGGGTATGAACTAGTAGCTTGACCTAGGTGAGTCTAGTGGGTTAGGTGTGGTGCACACTTGTCAAATCTAGCACTAGATAGCTCATAAGTAGCCCTAAGATCAATTAGAGCAAACTTTATTCACATATGATTTCGAGTTAGAAGTGAATGGAGGTCAAATGTTGACTGGATGCTGGTCCCGGTGTGACCGGACGCTGGAAGTAGAGTCCGGTCAGTTCATTTGATCAAGTGAAGTCGTCTGGATGCTATCGGACGCTGAGTGAAAAGTGACCGGACGCTGGGTGCCAGAGTCCGGTCAATTCCAGTAAGGTTCCAGAGAGGGAGAATCCTGATCAGACGCGTCTGGTCAGTGCTGACCAGACGCTGGTCAGGTTCCGGTTACTGACCGGACGCTGAACAGCGAAGTGTCCGGACTCTGGGCTCCAACGTCCGGTCAACATCAGTAAGATTCCAGAGAGCAGTTTTCATGACCGGACACGTCCGATCAGTGCTGACCGGATGCTGGTCAGAGTCCGATCACAACTTAACGGCTCTGTGTTAGGGAGAACTGACCGGAGCGTCCGGTATCTTGACCGGAGCGTCTGGTCACCCCGCAGGGTGCTGACTCAAGCACATAACGGTTCATTTTGAATAAGGGGGTATAAATACTTCCTCTATTCATTCAAGGGAGTACTCTTGCCATTTCAACAGCTGAGAAACACCCTTGAGAGTGCCAAAGAGAGCAAGAGCCTAGTGAGGTGATTGAGATTTGAGAATCCAAGATTAAGGCCTCATTAGTGAAAAGACAGTAGCAAGTGTGCATCCACCCTTATCATTAAGCTTCTTGTGGTCAAGTGAGAGTTCTTGCTTGTTACTCTTAGTGATCGCCATCACCTAGACGGCTTAGTGGTGATTGGGAGTTTGGTGATCATCCGATGGAGCTTGTGGATGACCTAACTCAAGTTGTGAGCAGTTGTGGGTGATTCACCGCGACGGAGTGTCGAAGAATCAACCCGTAGAGAGCACTTGATCCTTGCGCAGATCAAGACGGAGCTACACCCTTGCGCGGGTGCTCCATAAAGAACTAGTGGAGAGTGGCGACTCTCCGATACCTCGGCAAAACATCGCCGCGTTCCTTCTGCTCTCTTTAATTTGAGCATTTACTTTTGAGCAATTCAATTCTTGTCTTTACATTCTTAGAATTGTCATACTAGAGTAGGATTGGAACTTAGGGTGCTAAACTTTTGTGCGGTAGACCATTAGAATCATTTTCTAGGCACAAGGGGTGAAGTGAGCTAAGTGTAGGGTTTAATTATTGCAAAGAATTTTAGAATTAGCCCAATTCACCCTCCCTCTTGGCATCTTGATCCTTTCAGAGTTAAATACACCGACGATCCTTAAACTTGTGGCATTGTGCCACTTAGGTCCATGAACTCCCAAACTCGAAATTTGACCGTCTAAACTTGTTAAGCGGTGCACCACAGGTCCATACCCCTTCGAGAGATGCTGACTAGGATGAAATTTTACAAAAAGCACCCCAAGTCATGTTCTACCTCCGTATCCCTCGCACATGGCTGCGTTCGACCGCCCGTTTCCTCATGAAAACGGGATGTGAACATGTTCTCCCTCGCAGTTGCTTCCCTCGTGGCCGGCCGTCCACCTGCGCGGTCCCCAGCGCTGCTTCCCTCGTGGCGGCGCGAGAAAATGGGATCGGGCTGGCCCTACCAGGATGCCCGGCCAGCCACACCTCCGTGGACACAATGCTGTCCCAGAGGTCGCGGATGCCCTGGTACAGCAGCACGCTCCCGGAGCTTGCGTGCCCACGGCGTCCGTCGCATAGTTTACCTCTGGGGCGCCAGGAGCCAGTGGGAGCAGCGTTGCCGGCCGTTGTGTACGTCATCGTCGTCCACGGCAGTGCTGTCGCTGGCGTCATCAGATTATTGATGCTGCCACGACTGCCACCGGATTAGCCAGGAAGAAGAGGGCACCATCAGCAACAGATGGCATGGTGCAACGCCTGCCCCCTGTGGCCTGTCCTCACCATGCCGACCACGGTTGGAGGGGAGGTCGCTGCTGCGGTGAATGGCCGCGTCAGGAAACGTGTGCCCAAGGACAAGGAGAACAGCAAGCCGGAGTCGTCCAAGGGCCTAGGCAGAGGGCCGCCGCTAAGCAGCGGCAGCGAATGGCAGTAGAAAGGACACGATCACCGCCGCCAACGCGAAAAACCTCGTCATCAAGAAGCAGCCGCTGCTAGCAACGATCTTCAGATCGTCCCTGTTCTACCGCTACCAACGCCAAGCAACAGGAGGAGAAGGAAGCAGAATGCCGCGGCCTCGCCGAGCGGCGGCAGCAGGCGCAATGTGGTCGCTAGGAGGAGCAGCATGGTCGTGGCGGCAACGACAACAGTGAAGAGGCGCACCATACTGACATGGCTGATCGACACCGGTTTCCTATCCGACAGAGAGAAGGTGTTCTACGTGCTAGTGAACAGCGGCGAGGGCAAGGTTGTCTCGGGCGTGGTCACCAGGACAGGAGTCCACTGTGGCTGCTGCGACGCCGTCGTGTCGCTGCCGGCGTTAGAGGCGCACGCCGGCCGCGATCCCGTGCAGCAGCGGTCGTGGGAAAAGCTCCTGCTCGTGTCTGGCAGCTCCCTCCCGAACCGCATGGAGGAGGCGTGGGAGAAGGAGAAGCCCACTAGTGTCGATGCGTGGTATGAGCCTGTGACAGCACCCGCCCCCGCGCGTCTGATGCCTATGACAGCACCACGAGGGAGACGACCGGCCGCGGACGCCACAGGCGAGGGAGACGGACGGTGGGTCGCGAGTGCCGTGGCCAGCCAGACGTAGAACATGTTTATAGCAGGGTGTTTTTTGTAAAAAAAAATATCCTAATCTGGACCTCCTTAATGGGTATGGACCTACGGTGCACCGCTTAACAAGTCTAGAGAGTCAAATTTTGATTTTTAGAGTTCATAGACCTAAGTGGCACAGCGCCAGATTTAAGAGCCGCCGATGTATTTAACTCTTTTTAATTTAACCCCTCACATTTATTTTTCGTATAAAAAATATACCTTTCCTTCTCTCTCGTAGTCCCGCTTGCTGGAGCAGCGCACCGTCGAGACTGTGGCCGCGGGCTACTCCACGGCCCCCGCCGGCCTCCTGACCCCGCCCATCTACTGCAGCAGATCAGCGCGCAACATCGGACCCCGACCGCTTGGCGAGCCTGCCGATGCCAGCGCCGCCACAGCCACGTGCGTGCTCCTGCTTCGGCTCGTGGAGCACCGCCGACATGGCCCTAGTGACGAGCGCTGGGCCTCGACGGCCGCCGCATGCTCGGGGGTGCCATGCGGGAAGAAGGCCATGGGCGGGTTGTCGATCACGCGGCACGGCATGGCACGTCGACATACGGCGACAAACGCATGCAAGAAGCTAGTTAGCTGGTCAGACTCCAGAGGCCATGCGTCCGGTCTCGCCAGCCATGCAACGCCCGCGTGCCCGACTGACTGTACGTGGTGCGCCCTGCGGCCAGCTGCCCTAGCCCCCTGCGGCCCAGCTCACGGCAGGCAGCTCGCGCAACCTCCTTGCTGCGGCCCTGCGCGTCCTCCGCGCCCGAGCGCCGCGCCGGTCTCCATGCCTGCGACTCCCGGCCGCCTTGGCCCGGCGCCCGGCCTCCCTCGCGCGGACCCCGCACCCCGTGGGTGGCGGCCAGCCCCGCGCGGCCCCTGCGTCGACGACCAGCGGCCTGGCGGCAGGCGACCTAGCCAGCGGCCACTCCTGGGCGGTGTCGGCGCTGGACTGCCTCCTGGAGGTGCTCGCCCACGTGCGCGCCAAGGTGGCCGCGGCTCGGTCGCCGGACTCCGGTGAGCCAATGACGATGGAGACGATCTAGGGGATGCCCTTCTTGTCTCGGAGGCGCGGCGGGAGGAGGACGTGGGACATGAGAGAGAAGAAGGAATGTTTTTATGAGGAAAATAAATGTGAGGGGTTAATTAAAAAATACATGACATGCTGTGCTAGCATGCCACGTCAGCAAAAAATGCCCACATGGCTGACATGGGCCTGCGGTGCTCCGCTTAACAAGTTTATGGACCCAGAAATACATTTTCAAAGTTCATGGATCTATATGGCACACCCTTACATGTTTAAGGGCCGCTGGTGCATTAAACTCTTATCAAAACAACAAAGTACATGACATATTTAACTTGTTTGCTACGGAATTTTTAGGCATAACTAAATTTGATGTGAGTGCACTTGTAGCATTTGATGCATAAAAATTTTGGTAAGCCTTGGCTGCAACCTGAACGACCTTTTCATGGTATAATCCATGTGCTAGAGACTAAGCTACAACAATTGGAGTATTTGATCCTTTCTCTATTGTTTGGCCTTGGTAGAAATAAAAAAAAGTCCCTATTTTTGTTTGTTCCTTTTAGGAGGATTATCATCAGACATATTTACATGTTCTTTTCTCGTTTGTTCTTTTCTTGGAGGATTACCGTAAGACATATCTAATAAAGTTTCTATCTAATTACCGATGTATTTTACTGGGCTTATTTTATTTCTTACCATACCATAACCCATCCATAAAGATTCCTTTTGTATCCGTACAAGCCATTATAGCGACCTACGGCCGACCGGTATAAACTATGCTGACTCCCCCTACGTGTCGCTGATAGTGGTGTCAGGATAAAGTTATATTGACCTAACACTTACACCGATCAATTGTTAGACGCTACTGCGTAGATAGATATAGACTAATAATTTGAGGTCTATTTTAGGAATACCAATCGATCATCTATTTGGAATCTTTACCGACTGATTCCATCGGTATTTTGGTACTTTAATCGACTCATGTCTGACGCTAGTTTGGTTGGGCTATAGTGTCGTCATCACGGTCACCATAGGCATTTAGGGAGAAAAATTCACCATACGGATAGGATAGGAACACTTTGTACCATACGCATGCGTTTTTTTAAATGCAAAACTCAGTATTGCAGCTTCCTCCCTCGATACAACTGCAAAACATTTCATACATGTGTTCGAGGGTAAAAAACAAACACAAAGAACGGAGGGAGCATATTGCAAGCAGAAGCTCCTACAAAACAGCATCTCCCTGTGATCCCTCAAGAATTACTGAACTCCTGTATTTGCCGGGCACCAGAACTTTTGCAAAATGTATATCCTAATAGGCCAGTTACCTGTTATGGCTTCGGGCCTTCGGCTTCCGCCGGCATGCATTGAACTCAAACTTTAATTCTCCTTACTATAAAAGGATGCAGGTCTCATGTCAAAAAATATATATGTCAGCTTTGTGTAAGGTTCAGTTCAACATGGAAATTATTGTAATAATTGGTTAAAAATGCTCAATGGAGTTCAGTAATCCATCTCAAGAGAGCAATAAATAAAGTAACCCATAGAGCTGGCGCAAGCTAAGGACCTAGGACTGCATTTCTAGTGGCACAACTACAGATGGACAAGTGTAAAAACATCCCTATTTGGGTGAACGTGCACACCAAATTCTCAGTCGCACAAATTAATCTAACCAATTTCTCAGTCACACATTGATTGATTGACACCAAATTTCTCAGCCACAAAAGTAGACCGTTATGGCCTTATGGGAGGCAAGATGAACAAATATAATTGATTAGAACCATTTTCATGTCATGCCTTCCCTTGGAACAGCGCTTAGCCGCCAATTATTTTTTGTTGAGTTTTGACCTCCTACCTACAAAACTGGGTAAATTTGATACCGTAACTATCAATACCATTCAATTTAGGCCCACCCTAACCTAGTTTGGTGGTTTTTCCGTTGCGCCGGCCCACATATATGACACTCTTTCTCCCTCCTTTTCTCACCATTGTCGCCTACATCTCCCTCTCTCCCCTCCTCTCTTTCTTCCCCACTGCTGCTTCCCTCCCACTCCATCGTCCATGGCACCTTGTCTGACCACACTAAAGCAAGAGTGCACTCAAAGCCCTCCACCTCCCTTTTACCTTCTCTGCTGGCCCTCCACCACAGCACCTTCTAATGAGGACATCACTCTTTCGGATACAAAGCTTGGAGGCAAAGAGGACCAGTGTGGGCGTTCAAGTCACAACGGAGGAGGTCCAGTGCAACTTAAGTTGGAGTCCACCTTGGACTCCAGAAGTAGTCCCGGTTAAAAACGTCACCCAGGACACAATGAGCCTTAATTAAGATGGTTTGTAGGACCTGGTGAGCCTTAAGTAAGATGGCTGGTGGCTTAAGGAATTTTGGGTCTGCACGTAAACATTTTCAGATTGTAATAACGTGTTACACAAGTGCACAAGAACATATTATTGTCCTTAGCGTCCGATGCTACAACTTTCGAGCAAGCTACTAGGACATGACTACCCAATTTTCGGTGGCAGAACTAACTAGGACTGGACAGAGGTAAACATCCCTCTTTGGGCGAACATCGACACCAAATTTCTCAGCCATGTCTACCTCGTCGGGTGTGACCCCCGGTGGGAGCTGCCAGTCGAAGTGGTATAGGAGTGTCGCGAGTGCCAACTCGATGTTGGCATGCGCCAGCATTATGCCGGGGCACATCCTTCTTCCTCCACTGAACGGCAAGAACTGGAAGTCCGTGCCACGAAAATCAACGGTAGTTCCTTCGAAACGCTCAGGCTTGAAAACCTCGGCATCATCCCAGTATTTTGGGTCCCTGTTAATCGCCCACACATTCATGACCATGAGCATGCCTTTGGGCACATCATACCCAAGGATCTTGCAACATTCCTGACTCGCTTTTGGGAAGAGTACGCATGTTCCTGGGTGCAACCGTAGTGTTTCCTTGATGACAAGCTTTAGGCACTTCAGGTTGGTCAAGTCGTCCTCTGTTACCCGCGACTTGCATCCCAGGACATGGCGGATCTCTTGTTGCACTTTCCGCATCAGTTTTGGATTCTTCATCAGCTCTAACATGGCCCATTGGATCGTTGTCGATGTTGTACTGGTTCCAGTCCCAAACATGTCCTGCAGAGAAGTGTCGCGTAACGATTCATTAATTAAGAAATAATAAATCTTCCTCATGTTGCCAATAATGGTGATAGTAGTACTACCAGGATGACAGCTTTTATGGTCGCCATGGTGAGAGGGCAGTCGAGATCATCATCGTGTTCCTGCAACCGCAGAAGCACATCGAGCAATGCGTCGTTGGCGCCGTCTTCGGCAGCTGCTCCAGCCTTCCTCCCGCGGCGCTGGTCGATGGCGCGATCCACCAGCTCGAACAGCTTGGCGTTCAGCGCCTTGGACTCGCTCACCGTGCCGTTAATGGCTCTCAGGAGCTTCGACGACGGGAACAGGTCCCCCGCGCTGAACTCGGCGCCCCTCGTCATGGCCTTGGCCAGAGTGGCCATGAACTCGTCCCGCCACCTGAACCGCTCGCCCATGATGGCGCGCAGAACGGTGTCGGACACCAACCGAGATACCAGCTCGCTGACGTTGATCAACTGACGCTCACGCTCGCCGGGCGCGATCGCGGAGCGCGCGTCCATGGCGATGGCGCGGGCGAGGTGCGCGGCCTCATCCTCCCGGATGGAGCGGAAGGATCGAACGCGCCTTGCGCTCAGAAGCTCCGTCGTGCAGATCCTGCGGAGCCTCCGCCACATGGCGCCGTGCGGAGACAGGACGAGCCCCACCTTGTCTCCGATGGTGGCTCTCACGGTCGCGGTCATGGTCCGCGTGGCGAAGTTGGTGTCGTTCTCCCTGATAACTTCGCGTGCGGCGTCGGCCGACGAGACGACGACGGCGTGCAGCTCCCCTAGCCGGACGTACATGACGGGGGCGTCCCAGCGGCGTGCGAGGACGGCCAAGGCACGGTGCACGAGCCGTGGGTTCTTCACGGTCATTAGGTGGTGGAGGGTGCCAATTACCGGGAGCCGCCATGGTCCCGGCGGCAACCTTGTCCCTGGCGCACAAGGTGGAGTCCGTAGACAATGAAGATCGAGGAGTACTAGAGCTAGCAGGACCAAGATTAGAATCATAATATACAAGCACCAAGGGTGTAGTGGCTCCATGGCTTTGCTCCACTATGATGTTAATGATATAAACAAGACGAGGAACTGGCCTATAATATAATGAACGTGTAACTTCAGCCTCTGCCTGTATATTTATAGGTAGAATTGTAACGCTTGGAGGATATAGACGCGGTGTCTAAGAGCATCTCCAATAGTTTCTAAAAAAGAATTATTTGGTAGCCAAATTCTATTGCTTAGTTATTTTGTAAAATAGAAAACTTCTTAAAAAAAAGAGGTCCATAACAGCCTTACTATTTTACAAAGTCAGATAGCGAGAGCCCGTGGTTGGCTATATATGGCCACCAAAAATTAATGGATAGCTAGCTTCCTATTTTACAAAGTCACATAACACATATGTTTGAGCTTATTTTTTATTATACAAATTCTAAAATAGTCTCCACAACAAGAATAGCCAAGATGTTGGAGTTGCTCTAAATTAATGAGTTTTCCAAGTGACTAAAAAAAAGTTGGAACTGTCTCTAGAATCACCCTAAATAAGCTATTTGACCACTTTTATACTTTATTTTTCACATTTACTTTAGGAACCTTTCTACTCCTTATTCTTCCTAATGTCCTTTCACCTTCAGATTGGCCGATGGATGCGTGCGTTGGGAGAGAGCATCTCCAAGAGTTTTAATAAACCACTCCCAGTCTTGATTTTTTGGCAAAATTGAAAAAAGCGCTCTCCAACAACTCTCTACTTAACTTCCAATCTTTGCGCACTTGGGAAAATCAACCTAGTCGCGCAGAAATATACAAACGTGTATCTATCGACCAATCTGGAGGTAGAAGGATGTGGAGAAAAATAGAGGACAGGAATCGCAATGCAAATATACAAGAGAGAAAGAAAGTATAAAAGTGGTTAGGGTGATTTAAAAGTAGTGTAGGATTCTTGATACAAAATAATTTTCACTGTACCTTAAATCCAGCAGTAAAATGCACCAGTGACTTTGGCAGAGGGTATCATCTAGATCCCCAAGCTCCAAACTCCTAAAATACATGTCCGGACGGCGACATCAAGGCGGAGATGGTGTCGTCGCCATGAAATAATTTTCTCCGGTCTCTTCTCCGTTTTATTGTGGTTAGATCTGGCCACGATGGACCAGGGAAGATAAGGTTCAGAGCAGTCTTTCTCATTCTTCGGTGGCAGAAAGAAAAAGAAGGAAGACACCAAAAAGAATAAATTTCTCAACTCCGGCTACATTGTAACACCATAAAATTTGAACTTTTGAAAATAGGTTTAAAATGATTTATTTATGAATTTTTGTACTCATAAAATATAGGGAAAAATGTCTTTCTTTAAATTAAAATTTATCATAAGGTAACAACATGGATGTACATACATGCCGGTGCATTTGATTTATTTGGTTGAGTGGTTTTAATTAAAATTTAAAATGGTTTGAATTGCTATTAGAAATAAATTAAAAATGGTTTTGAAGTAAAAGAAACAGAAAATTTGAAAATAAAAGAATTTAAAAAGTTGTAAAATTTATTTTTGAAAAACTTACCAAAATTTCTCATTTTTACTTGAGTTGAAAAGTATATTTGAAACTCTATTTGAATTTGATTTGGATCATATTTGCATTTGGATTGAAAAAGGAAAATGAGAAAAAGAATTTTTTTACTCCTCTCTCTGTTTTTAGCCTTGCAAGCCGCTTCGGCCTGGCCCAGCTCTTTTTCTCCCCCGCCTCACTTCCCTCTCTCCTGGAAGCCACGACCCATCTCTCCGTTTCTCCACTGCGCGGCCCGCTTAGCTTCGCAAGACCACAACCCATCCTCGCCTCAGCCCGCTCTGCCTCCGCGCTGGCCCATTGGCGTCGGCTCAGCCGATGCCACAGCGAAGCCGCCTCTCCCTCCGGCGCTCACCGACATCCCGGGCCCACAGGTCAGGCCTTTCTCCTACCTCACGTAGCCAGGCCGGACTCCGCCGCGTCGCTCTCGTCTCCTCCTTGCCGTGCCGCCCAAGCCGAATCACCCCATAAATAGTGGCCGTGCCCGCGCCTCTCTCCAATGCTAGTGCCGCCATCGCTCGAGCCGCAGGAGCAGTAAAACCCTAGAAACGCCGCTGCCGCATTGATCTCCATCGCCGCTGCTCTTTTGCTGCTACGACTATGTTCCCGAGCTGCGCGTGAAGGTAAGAAAGCCGCCGGTATCTTGTATGCTTCCCCTCTCACTCCTTTGCGCCTGCATGAGCTCGCCGTAGCATGGCCATCGCTCCCGAGCCGCTCGAGCAAGCCCTGCGCCGTCACTGTGCCATCGCGGTCTCTCCCGAACCCCACTCCGAGTTCGCCGTGCGCCCCTATCTCTTCCTGTGCTCTTGCTTTGGCCAGTGATGCCCAGAATCGGCAAATAGCCAATCACGCCGGCAACCTCCTCTGTTTTTTCCAGCCGTGCGCCACCGCCTCTACTCGTCGCCAGTCACTCCTCCCCCTCCTGATCTAATCTCCACCGTCCAGTCCAGATCCAACGGCCGACAGAGCCTGTTACCCCTTCACCATGGCCTTTTGCAGAAAACCCCCTCCATCTTTTTAAGTATAAACCTGTCGTCCCTGGTTTCTTTCAAAAGGATCCCTGCCTTTTCTTTAAATAGTGTCCGCAGTCCTCGACTGGTTTCAAATCCTATTTTTATTTATTTTAAACTCGAAAATCAAGTTCCATCTAATTACAAAATTGCCACTATCTTCATTAGGTCATATCTTCTCGTTTTAACTCTGATTTGACCTGTTCAAATTGCGTTACGTTGTCTACATGTTCATACCACTGTTAGATATGTTTTTAACTTTTAAAATTCGAGGTTAGATTTAATCTATTATTTTATTAAGGAAAATCTTGTTTAATTCATATCTTCTACGTTTTAGCTCTGATTTGACCTGTTTAAGTTGCGCTAATTCATTACAACGAGATCTATGCGTTAGTAACAATGTTTATCTTGTCACTATTTCTAGAATTTCATGGTTTAAATTCTAACTTGGATAATAATTATGCAACTGGATAAAATATGATTTGTTTTACTTTAGTTTTATAAATCAAATCTAAATTTGACTTAATTCAATTTATATAAGCTTTTATATAGTTAAAACACATGAAACTTATAGTTTTATATTTTCTCTTATGAGTAGATCTTTCGGTAGCCGTTTCTTTCAAACCGTAGCTCCGATTAGAGTGTTTTTCGCGTCTATGTGTTCGTAACGAGACGTATATTCGCTTTACAAACTTTTCATCTTGATTTTATGTTTGGTGTACTGTTCTAATTTAGATCTATTGATTGCTTCATGTATGATCGCATGGATGCTTGTGTGGTGCTTTATGATCATGTCCAGTCGGTGAGCTTTACGTTGGTGATATAAAAGAAGGTGATCTAGAAGTTCTTTGGAGGCTACGAATCAATAGAAGAATGATCTAAGTTTAAGCAAAGTATAGCATGTGATCTTCCTTATTGTCCTATACACCTTTAATCATCTAATTTATACTGCATGTGTCTACCTTGAGTACCACTAAGGATTTTCTAGTACTTTGTTACCCTGTACCTTGATTCCTATGAGTTATTGCATTGGGTAGTATGATGTTAGTGCTCAACTACAACCATGATCTTGTAACTTGACTAATGGAATATGTAATAAACATTAAAAGATGCTTTTTAGCAACATGGAACAAGGGGGCTAGAACATTGGGTTGTTTTATGGTACCCTAGATTCCTCTTCCTAAGGACTTATCTGTAAACGAACATCTGGGACTTACAGTACAGCTGTGAGGGCTATATGGCTCTGGCTTTAGCTTAGTATGAGGACCTTTTCTAGCTTGTTAGAGGTTACCTTTATTAGCGTAAGAATGGTTTACCGAATCGGGTATAGGACATCCTCTACTCTTATGTGTATAGCCGTGATGGAATTGTGCCATTCGACAGGGGTTCCTATATCTGTTTATCGAGTGATCTAATGGCCCTAACTTGTTAGACGAATCTTTGAAAGGCTTCATAGTGAAACCTGCCGACCTTCCTTGGTAGTGGGTCAAGAGACTGATCACCTCGGGCGAAAGGGTAAATCACGACTCATAGTGAAAGTGTACAATCTCTGTAGAGTGTAAAATTATTATAACAGCCGTGCTCACGGTCACGAGCGGCCTTAGACCCTTACGGAATAGATGATGAAACTGATGATATAGATGATATAGATGCTCATTAATGATTACTGTTTATACTATTCATTATTCATATTTTCCTGATCATGTGTTTATATGTGCTTGTGATGAACTTGTTGCTACTCCTATGCTAAAATTGTCGCTAATCACAGTTAAACCATTGTCAGCCTTTTGAGCCTCATGAACCCCATGTTATATTTGTTGAGTACGACATGTACTTACGCTTGTTTTACTTTTTTAAATCTTTGAAAAAATCCCGGATGGGTACCAGATTGCTAGTCTGGAGGAGTTAGGCTTGTGATTAACCAGTCAGTTGTCCCTATGAAATTGGAGTCTTCACCCGAAGATCGGAGTTGTCTTTTCCACTGTTTGCTATCTAAGGTTATACTATTTATACTAAGTACGTTATATATTGAGCATTGTCTATTGATATTACCCTTATTTGTAGCTATATGTGAGCTTTTACTTCTTAGGCTCACATATGGTGTGTATCTGGTTTTGTTCTTAAAATCAGGTGCTACATACATGAATGTTGGCCGTCGTTCGATGGACATTTGTTCTCAAGCCTTTTGCCGAGTATTTACCTGTACGGTCATCCAAACTGCAAAGCGTCGTACAGATTTGGTTTTGAGATCTGTAGCTATTCACAACGCGGGTACAATTTAGATGAAAATTAGTTTCTGAATATTTATGTAATCCAAAGTGTTTGTACACGTGTTGATGTATCCAACTATTATCTAATATAATTCTTCTTTCGTCGTAAAAAAAAGAGAGGTCACAGGCATGCAGGGATCAGGGCAAAGTAAATTTATCTATTACGCATGGAGTCCAAAAAAGGATTGCTATTTTAATCTTGCATACTG